GACCAAGACTAAAAGCAAAAGGCAAAAATCATGGTTTGGTAAAGATTGTACAAAAATGAAGGACATGTTTTGAGGCTAAAATGTCTTTAAATATAAAAAGAAATAAAGTAGCGAATTTGCAGCGCCCAAAGAACAAAAGCAAATCGTATAAGAAATGTATGTTACAATATTCAAATTTGCAAAAATCGAATAGGGTTAAGGACCCAAAATCGTTCTGAAAGATTCTGAAATCTGGGGTGAAGGGTGTGACACCAGGCAAAGAACCGAAACTGGAGGAGTTATTCGCCGTCTATATCAATCTGTACAATTACAAATAGGACTTCGTAGTAAGCCTGAAGGTTTTTTTTATCAAAAGCATTGATGAGAAGTTTCACTTGAATAATTCAGTCCCATAACACCAGAAGAAATATCACATCGCCTAAAAGCTAAAAACTAACAAATCATATGGAATTGATGGAATCATGAATGAACATGTTGTGCATCCCGTACAAGAAAACTTTTGTGTATATCGGTTACATTATATGGGAGCATTTTCCTTGAATCCTGGCTTGTCGGTGTCAAAAAAAACTATATATTAAAAAGGTGACCTATTCCAACCAGAAAACTATCGCCCTATTACTTTACTAGTGTAAGAAAATTATACACATCAGTAATCATTAACAGACTTACTAACTTTATCGAAACAAATCAGCTTCTTAGTGAACCACAAACAGGATACAGAAAGAATGATTCAACCACAGACAATATATTTACATTGTACGGCCTTATTGAATTGCTGAGAGCAGGGAAGAAAAGTCTGCTCTTATTGACTTTAGCAAAGCGTTCGACCGTGTTAGGCGAGTCGTGCTTTGGCTAAAACTACTGTCCTATAATATTTCTGGAAAATGTTTCAATGTTATTTATTATATGTATAGAACTATCAAATCATGTGTTCTTAGTATAGGAGCTGCTCTGAGCTCTTCCCGTACTCAATTGGGGTGCGACAAGGTGAAAACCTGACACCTTTACTATTCGCACCTTTTGAAAATTATTTAGAACAGTACCTAAAAGATCATACTTGTACTTCTTTGGGTTAAGTCCCATGTGATCTAGACAACCAGTTGCCGGCCTTTTATTTTTGTGGAAGCCTCGATGGCTTGTGTACTTGCGATTAGGTGCCTCACTCTGGCATTTCGGGTTCGAATCCCGCATGGGACTCAACCTAGGAAAGTACGAGAATCTGTGCAAGGTGTTATCCCAAATATAACATTTGTTATATTTGATCACTTTCTAAATGGCGTATTCATAGCTTCGGCCATGGGAGCCGTGCCAATTTACACTTGTCAGAGGGGTATACAAAGTATGTGTTCTTGACAACCAGTTGCCGGACTTTGATTTTCGTGGAAGCCTGGGTGGCACAGTGGATTAGATCGCTGACTTTGTGAGCTTGCGATTAGGTGCCTCACTCTGGCAGTGTGGGTTCGAATCCCGCATGGGACTCAACCTAGAAAAGTACTAGAATCTGTACTTGACTTAGAAAGTGTTATCCAAAATATTACATTTGTTACATTTAGACACTTTCTAAATAGAATTGTGAGTTGCAAAAGTTAGGTTTCGTTTTCACCAATTTTAAAGAATTCTTTTCATTGTTTCTTTTCGGTTTCTGCCCAGTCATCTAAAGCGCCGCGATTCGCTATGCAGAGTTGCGTCCCTTGGGCACGCAAGAAACCTATGTTTGTGGGTTCGAATCCTGGTTCGCCCCGATTTTGTTTCTAGGTTTGCCAGCACCATACCCGTGCTCGCTGGTTTCACCGAAGTGGTAAACGTCTGAGACTTGCAACACTTCGGGCTTTCCTCCCACATTAAGCTGACACGCCGCGATATAACTGGAATACTGTTAAAAGCGGCGTTGAACCCAACTCACTCACACTATTCGGTTTCTCGCTTTTATCATCCAAATATCTATCAAATAGGAATTTAGTGTATTTCCGAATGCTTCAAATTATCCATAGACCTGTCTAAATTTAAGTCTTGGCTGAGATTTGGTTACTTCCTGTCATTGATCTTATCTATATCGCCTGGATTTAATCGATATATATTTTTAGTCCAAACATTTTGTGAAACTTCAGAGCTGTCTAGAAAAAATTCAGTTTTGTCGAAATACTGTCCTAGTTTATGTTCTGTGTCATGTACGGTAATCCCATGTAAATTGGTATTTGTTATTATCATAATATGCTTGGAAATTATCGAATACTTCTTCACCTTTTGGTCTCAAACCAAATATCATATAAGATATATACATCATATCATATAATTGCTTATAAAACGTTCTTGTTCATTTATCATCATGCGACCAAGAAGTTATGCCCGTGTACGACTACAAATAGAGCGAGAGGGCATGGAGTACAACATATCCGGCTAATGGAAGTAGTAGTCAATTAAGGTAATGATATCTTGTTTAACGTGGATTACCGTGATGCACTTTTGGTGTCTTAAGCAGCCTAACACAATTCTTAATGTGTTATATTATTGTGTCCCTGTTAAAAAAGGTACATAACTAAGCACAGAAATATTTTCACAATATGTCAATTGGACTTTAATGTGAACAGATACTATTCTTGATTATATATCTTCAGTCATATTTACAGTGCAGGTCCAGGTTTCTGAGGGCCCTTGGTCTCCATGATACCTTCTGTAGAGACGACTCTCATGCGCGTCCTGATCTTGTTAGTCTCGTGGATTGATGCGGCTTGTCTGCTGAGAATTGCCCGCTTCTTCTTGGTGGTAGTTCTGTCTGAATACTGATCCCAGTCACTCTCAACAGTGTTTTTGCCTCAAAAATTGCCTCTCTGTCTGACAAGTACGCGAATGTAGCCATTATGCTACGGGGTGCGTTGCGGTGAGGTGCGTTGCGGTGAGGTGCGTTGGGTCGATGTGCCTTCTGGTACTCAGAGTGAGAGAGTCAATAATTATGGTCACATCGGCAATATTTCAGCCATACCGTGACTGAAGCAATTAATACATTAAGAAAACAATAATTTAGACTTATAAAAAACTGTCAGCAAAGGACAGTTAAATTACTAGACTTATCACAGATATCTCTTTCTGGTACTCGGGCAGCGGAAGCCTGTGAACGACTTTAAAAAACATGTCGTCCTAGCTGGATTGAGAAAACCTAAGGGTCTTAACTAGAGCTTCACTTTACCTTTCACATCATACAGTTCTTATTTCAAAGAGGCAATTGGTGCTTGGATATAGACTTTCATTAGTATGATAAGTTCGGATAGCCTCTACAATATCCTCTTCTGTAGCCATTTTCGACCGAGGCGATCGTTGGGACATATATTCAAATTCACAATATCAATAAAAAGTTTAAAGTCGTCCACATATTGCTCACAGATAGTTGCTGTGAGACGGGAGGGATCTTTCCAAGATGTCAATGTATTCATAATTCTCCAGTGTTACAGATAAGCAACGAATTTGCGTACAATACGCTAACTACATTTGTAAATCACCATGACCCGTTTGAGTTGCTTGTGTACAAATGTGCATGAAGAAATTAGATAATTCAACAGTATACTTACTGTATATGTTACTTTTTCAGTTTTGTACACAACTGTTTTTGCAGAACTTTCAGTCTTACCAACTGAATGCAAGCATCGTGTATCAACGAATTCTACTAATGCACAAATGTGCAACATTTCGCTTAGTGTAACGTGTATCACTGTAATGAGGTTATGCAACAGACGGACATATGGTAATGAGACGTTTAAATCTCAAACAGAAGTACAATTAATCACAAAAAGGTCACTCATAGGTTTAGTAAATACCCAATTCTACCTAACAGAGAGTGAGAGAGTAATAATACACTGAATACCCCAACAAATTTTAATACCCAATGTGAATGATAACATGTAAGTAAACGTTCAACAGCTCAAATATATTTTGAACCCTGGTCTCCCACACTCCCAAACAATTACAAAATAACTGGCAACCCGGTGAAGCGAAGTGATTAAACTGATGACCTAACAGACACGTGTCAGCTTGCATAATAATGTTTTGCTTAGACAGTCCCTTAGCCTCATGACATTGGTGAGATCATATGAGCCTGGATGGCAAAGGAGTGAGTGAGTGAGTGAGTTAAAATTTTACATCGCATCGGCAATATTGCAGCCATATTGCGATGAAAACAAGTTAATTATGATTATATATCCGTCGACAAAGGACAGTAAAACAGTAAGTCATGTATCACAGTTAAGGTATAAAACAAACCAGTTCACAATAAAAACAAAGAATTCTTCAGTAGATTTGGTACAAGTTAAAACTGGGCTATATAGGATGGCAAAGGACATCAAGAATATGTGAAAATAACGTTAACGTGAACCCAATATTTCAAATGTTGTAAACATAATATCATCTTGCGTGAGTACCGGTAAAATGAGCAAATACAAAGTAATCAAATACATACACTTGATATCCTGAATGATACATAACTTCCTTAGGCATTTAACCATTTGAAACTTTACAAATTTACAAATGTTTCTCCACCTAAGAAATTTCCATATTTCAAACCCTAGTAATCTTACAAAGCAGTTTACAAAATAATGCTTGCACCGATTACAATTACGATAAATGCATAGGAAATACTCTGGTCAAGTATGTACTGGAGTCTCAACTTTGGAACTCAGGCTTAGACATGTCTGCATATCATGACAGTGGTGCTGGTGCATCGGAAATACAGGATGATCATGTGCTGCAGCTACATATGACATGCATATCGGGAAACATATGCAAATCCGGTCATAACACACATTTCCTACTGTATTTGCGTTTGTTTCAATGGTGTAAAATCCGGCCTTTGGTCCTGTGATATACGTATAGGTATCGAATCTTCGTTCGATATCTCCAAACTGAATACAGTAGGTATTTCTACTAATGGTTCTCTGATATGTTCATTACGTGGTATTGACTTTCATCATTAGTTTAAAATGACCATGTAAATAATTACAGAGTATTTGTTATTACGCAAGTAGGACATTGTGAGAATCTTCAGCTGCGTCTTCTCTCAAAGACTCAAGTGGAATCAGCTCAACATGCGTAGGAGATGTACCTGTAGCGTCCTCGTCAAACGCGTTCCTGAAAGCAACGAATCTGGAGCTTCACACATAAATATTTCAGTTGGATACATGTTCATAATACATTATATTTCCATCTCTTTCGGACAATATCAATTCAATCTAACGATCGTGATTATATTTGGATATACAAATGGAAGCAAGTTGTAATTATGTTAATGTCTCATTTACACAATTACGGTTTGCAAATACATTTTCACTGTGATCCGTTTGCATCCGTTACATATATGATTACATATATATGATTAAATTCAAATCCAAACTCAATGTTTTACAATATTTAATTTTAACCCAGATAAATGACAGACTTACCAAAACCAAGCAACAATTCACATAACTGAAACCGCAATTTGACTAATAACCCACATCTTAGATTGAGTCTGCTACGTCCCTGACACAAAGACTGAAGTGATAATACTACTTACGTTCCGAGTATCTCAGCTTCCTTGATGGTTTCCGGTAGATTCTTGTACAGCGTTTCCGGGAGAAGAAGAGCCAAGAGGGCCGCCAGAATGCTGATACCCCCAAATATCAACATAGGGAGAATCTGGCTGAAACGTCCGGATATGTACATCGTCTGAAATGTGTGTATATTTGTGACTATTCTTGGTCATATGATGACGGAAAACAAAGTATGAAGTACGGGCCTTTGTTTATCTACAGATGATCTTTATGTTGTCCACGGTTCCCCAGTATTACATTATTAAGTTAAACATGGTCCCAAAGGTTATTCACAGTTGTTGAAGAGGTACCCATTTTACTCCTATTGGAAAAGTTATGAAACACCTGGGGCAATTTTTCATTTTTTGGACCTGAAAAATAAATAGGAAATGTGTACAGTCAAAATGATTTTCCTTAACCTCACCAAGTTAACAATGTAGGGAGAAACTAGACTTCCAGCTCGACCAGACAAGGAACTCAGAGACATGCCAAATGTCCTGGATGTGGTCGGCATGATCTCAGCTGTGACGGTGAAGACGGCACATATGGCTGCAGAGGCACACGTGTTTCCGATAATGGCGAGGATGTTGATGACCAATTTGTCCGCTAATGGAGTGAAACAGTTGAGTGGGATTAGCAATATGACCTTCATGTATATTGAACAATATCAGATCATCGATACACCTGAAGCTTCAGTTACACTTCTTCTTTTATATTTTGCCAATCCGAGAAGAAATTCCTATTCATAACCTTGAATTAACATGTCGACAGGGAGGTGAGTGCAATTTTGTCTAAATGTCCTAATCCCAATTTTCCCATTGATTTTATCAATGAGAAAGTTCAGCACTCCATACGTATGTTTTGATGGTGAACATATGTTTTGCTTCTGACTAGAACTCAATGGCGTCTATTTTTGACAAACTGTCCTAACCTTGAAGATAGAGAGATGCAAATATATGTATATTTATTGTCACCTTCAGTTGCTAATTCCAAATGCATCAAGGAATGACGTTTTGTCCTTAAGTGTGTCGTGTATGAATGTGGTGTACAGATTGGTTACATTAAATATTTTGACAGATTGAAGTTTGTTACTTTCTGATATTGCAAAAATTCGAATATTGGTAATCCACAAGGGCTAGTAACACTTGTCTCACATGTTTTCTTTTAATATAAGAAATTCCTTCTTTGATGGATTATATAGTTAAGGTATGAGGCAGAGATTTGGTGTTTTGTTTGCATGGCCCTGCACTATATCTCTCAGCAAAAGAGGAATGTACATGTATTCAGGTTTTAGTGTCCAGCTAAAAGTTGATAGTACTGATGCGTCATACCAATATACGTTAAAAGATGGTACTTGTTGTTATGCTGTCTGGCGCAGCGCAAAACAAGGACTGGTCGCCTCAGAGTCAGTGTACTTATGTGTGCATGTGTGTGTGTAAGAATCATGGAAGCGATGTAAACACCATTTCACCGCACCATGCGTAGATAGATGTTCATGATGTCAAACACTGTATTGAGTCGATTATTTACAGATCACCGTCATATAGCTGGAATATTTCTGAGTGCGCCGTTAAAGTACAACCAAGGAAGGACTTGTATGTGACAATAAAATATTATATAAATGTATATTCCCTTACCTCGTGATGGACGAAATAGATAACATGTTGAACGATGAATATGTTTCCTTCGTACGTCTTGTATAAATACGTTCAATGCATGTGCATATATGTGCATTCTTCAAAATAACACCTTAAATTTAGGTCCATTATTCATGCATACGCTTATAAACACGTTTGTGATTTTTGGTAATGACACTTACGTGTATCTGAAACTAGTACTGGAACCAAAGGAAGAATGCAAGCTGCTCCTGTAAGCGACAAAGATATACATAGCAGCAACTTGCGACCAATGCGATCCATTAGGAAAAAACAAGAAATGTATGCAACAGCCTCTGTGATGATGAACAAGAGGAAGTTGAGGTAGATGCTACCAGAAAGGTTGGTGACGTTCATGGTGAGGCCATAGAAACCCATTCCAACTGCAAACCTGCAAGAACAATGACAGCTATCTTTTTCTCACTATTAACTTTTGTCGCTAATTTAGTACCACATTTACAGGCTTTTCGCTCACTCGCACACACAGAGAAACACAGATGTTTACGTTTAACGTCATATAAAACATATCCAAATGGAATGTAATAACTATTAACAATCTCTTCAAACACAAGCAAACAGTACCCTTCACTTATGGTCACATTATATGATTGTGCTTATTGCCTGTACTGGGCGGTTGGGTAGCCTAGGGTTAAAGCGTTCGCTCTTCACGCCGAAGACCCGGGTTCGATTCCCAACATGGGTACAATGTGTGAAGCCCATTTCTGGTGTCCCCCACCGTGATATTGCTGGAAAATGCTAAAAGCGGCGTAAAACCATACTCACTCACTCACTATTGCCTGTACTGGCTGAATTGCTTTTACTAGTGTGTTTCTTTACTTTTAAAACTAGTTTTCCTGTAATGTTGTGTATAACCTATGATCAGAACTAATGTTTTAGGAACTGAATTTTAGGTACCAAATATAGCAGATGATCATCAGTCGGCGCATCATCACAGATGACTTCAAAATATTCCAGAATGGTTCTTGAATCACCTCTTCCATTTGGATATCGACCTCATCAAGTATTTGTGGATCTATTTGTACTTTGTTCTTTTTCGCAATATTTGCAACTACCCCTTTAGCTTCTTCTCGTTTGCCATGTTTCAGAAGCCATCTTGGAGACTCTGGTATAAAACTGTGATGAAAAAATATAAACCTGGTTTTCAGAACTAAATGGACAGAGGTTATGAAGTTAGGAACAACTCGTAATACTTGTAAATGCACAATATATGTCAGTAACCAATTAAGTATTAAACGAAGGTAGTGAAGCTAACGTTTATGTTCATATTTAGTAAAATAGATATACGTTTGAAACTTAAGTTATTGTTATTCGTTCATGTACACTAAAAATGGAAAAGATCCATCATATTTTTTTTTGTTTACGTCAATATTATTCCGATGAGGTATCAACAATAGCATTTCTACTGTTTCACTGCAAAGTTCCATAAACATTGCATACTTTCAATCTTTATGTATGTGATTCATGTGTATGCACACCAAATTTCAATACTTACAATAAATAGGCAAAGACAACCGCCGGGACACTGACAATCAGCTGTCGAGTCTTCCAGTCCCTGAAGAGATAGGCCGTGAGAGCTGTGATCATGTTTCCCGCACTCCAGAAGAGGTTCATAGCAACACCTGCCCACATTCGCTTAGAGGGGCCGACTATCTCCATGCCTGTTCCATACAAATCAAGTATTATAACAGACTAATATTTGCACTGACTGTGTTTTGTTTCTTTTGTTTGATTGTTTGCTGTTTGCCATGAAAGGCGATTACTCTTGTGAGGGGCGACTGACGGGATCGTGTGGTCAGACTCGTTGACTTGTAAGATACATGTCATCGTATCATGATGTCAGTCACTGGATTGTCTGGTCCAGCCACGATTGTTTACCGACCGCCGTCATATAGCTGGAATACTGCTTAGTGCGACGTTGAAGAACAAACAAACAGTGTGGATTTTACAAGAGCTTTTCTTGCCACGCCTCGTTCTTGGTTCATGACACGAAGCAACTTTTTCTGGAAAGAGGGAATGAAACCAAAGTGGCATTCTTAGACAGTTTGAAAGCTTTCAAAAAGGTATGGCACTCCAGAGTCCTGTGGAAGTTACATCAACATATCTCTATGGGATCTCTCTTCAGCAGCATGTACAGGGCCATCATTACATGCTCAAAAACGAAATCCACTGTTATGTCTCTGCAGAGGGCAGGCTGTGAAATAAAGGGATAAACAATCTTCCTCTGAGTGCAAAATTCATCATCATGGTGCCTTTACCAAGTTTCGTTTTTCGTCTGAGAAAAGATGAAATAATTGCTGTGGAGATTTTGCTTGAAGACCATACAAGGCTTGCCTAAGACAACTCACATAGATACTTTCGATGCCGATGGGTCCAATTCTGTCGAACTATACATTGACACTGATAAGGTACTGTTTCGTTACCATTTGTGCAAGAACCAAACACATTACGTCAGCAAGAAACTGTTCAGGGTATGTCTGCTTTCCTTTATGAACAGCTGTACTAAGACGTCACATGGGTTCATACCAGATTCGTAAAAGATGACCAAATTGGGCAGCCTGTTTGCCCTGCTGGGTATCATGCAGGAAGCAGAGGTTCTGTAAGTCCCCATGATCCCCAGCGAGGTGGCCTAGCTTTGGTTACTGGTGGCCCGTGTTTTAAACTGTATTAATGATATTGTTATGCTCAAATATGTTTCATCAATTGTTTTTAAATATAGTATCCTCCAATATGTTTCATAACTTGATTTTACTTTGCTTAAATGCCCAGGCACCAACCACAAGACGGAACATCACTGCCAAAGAGAACGCCAATAGATTATCCTCGGTCGCTCTCTCTGTTATAGTACATATACTTTGAGATGACATAAATTCACAAAAGAACAGGCACTCGTGAAGAGCAACCTCCTCGTGGTGAGTGCTGGGTAGCGCTTATAGCTCTTCCCCCGTGTGGAACCGGGGTAGAATACTTCCACAGCACCCCATTGCTGGTCGTAAGAGGCGACCAAAGTGGGCAGCCCGTTTGCCGTGGGTTGCGTCCCTGTGTCGGCGGAGGACGGGAGTCTGGTGGTTGAGGGCACTGGTTCCAGGAATAGTGTTCCTTTGCCCAATACACCACTTTGACCCTTACTTCGCCTAGACGGGTGGTAAGATGGGCCCGGTCTTATCAATCGGCTGGTCATGCCAAGCCCTGAGCGCCTTCCATTTTGCTCACTGTTCTCACTATTCCGGCTTGGAAATTTATATCTATCATTGACTTGTTTCAGTTTATGACAGAACTGTTTTATGTGAATATATATGTCTATTGTTATTTTGTACTATTTGATATATTCAAAATTTGCCTAGATGCCAGTGCCAGAAGGCGGTGGCTCATGGGCCAATCCGGTGGATTTATTGATCTTTGATTAGTACTTCTGCTTGAGTATACCCTCCTGGTATCCTTGGTGCCGTCTGTTGGAGATCCACAGACGTGTGGCATCGTCCACGTAGACACTCCATGGTGGGTGGGGAGCTAGGAGGGTGAAACACATTTAATACTACCATGGCACCACCACTAAAAAAACGCTCACACGAATCAGATGATTCGCTCTCTTCTGGAGATGAAGATTCTCCTCGAACACTCGTAAATCCTGATGCTTGGTCTCGATTTCTCGTCATGTCTGCTCCGAATGGTGATCCACTCAAACTGAACCCATTTGCGATATCAAAGGGTATTGAAGGTTTAGTTGGTGAAGTCAAGGAAATAAAGAAATTGCGATCTGGATCTCTATTGATCCAATGCAAAAAACAAATACAATCCCAAATTCTTCTGTCCACCAAATCTCTAGCTAATGTTCCTGTGGAGGTATCCCCTCACAGGACACTGAATAGTAGTAAAGGCATCGTTCGTGATATTGTACGATGCCTTTGTGATATGACAGAAACTGAAATTGTGAATGAATTACACTCCCAGGGAGTTACTGCTGTAAAACGTTTTACCGCAAAAAGAAATAACGAAATCACAAAAACAAACACTTATCTGTTTACTTTTTGTCTCCCGATTCGTCCAGACTCGCTGAAAGCTGGTTATTGCAACTTAAGAGTGGATACTTTTATCCCAAATCCCTTAAGGTGCTACACTTGCCAAAAATATGGCCATGGCTCGAAATCTTGCCATAATCCAGCTGCATGTTATCGGTGTGCTGGGACATGCGATGATAGTAATCTGTGTAACAAACCAACTAGCTGTGTCAACTGTTCAGGCAACCATCCTTCTTCTTCGAAAGACTGTCCTACGTGGAAACTACAGTCCAAAATATCAAAGATAAAGCATGAACGTAATATATCTTTTTTCGATGCAAAAAAGGTTGTTATTGCTCAGGAACAAGCAGGTCCGACATATTCTTCTGCTGTTTCTGCTTCTCTGCAGGTTTCTACCACGACTAAACATGTTTCATGTCAATCCATAGCTTGCCAGACTGATTACACGTGGGCCAAAACCTCTGGCCCAACGTTATTATCTACAGAAATGCAGGTGAGACAACTACAAGTAAACTCTACCTCCCAAACCTCACAGGTATTCACTCAATCAATGACACCTTGTCATATGGATGCAGACCAATCATCAAAAATAGTGTCTGAACAGTCTAAATCAGAAACAAATGTCAAACAAATTTCAACGAACAAACCAAAACCAAGAACCGAACAATCTAAAAGGTATCAGAGTGGCAGGGCCTCGAAAGGGGCAGAAAACAAGATCCAGCTATTTAACAAGTTTGGATCACTTGAGGACATGGATGTGTCCGACACGAGCCATCACAGGGCACATAGCTTGTCGCCCTCAAGGAAGGTGAGGGGTAGGTCCCCTGTCAATCCCCCTAAAAGATAGTGTTTACAACAAATATAGTACAGTGGAATTGTAGAGGATTAAAGACTAATTTTAATGAATTACATCTATTAGTCCAAGATTTTAATCCATCAGCATTCTGCTTACAAGAGACATATTTAAAGCAGACAGACCAATTTAACTTACGTCAGTTTAATGCGTATCATTCGTTTTCTCCTCCAGGTAATAGAGCCTCAGGAGGATCTTCAATCATTGTGCGACAGAATGTTATACACAGTCCTGTTGTGCTTAATACTAATCTGCAAGCCGTTGCAGTGCGACTTACTCTGCACATTGCATTTACACTGTGCTCTCTTTATATTCCACCGTCGTCAGCTCTCCAGCAGTCTGAACTTCAAAATCTCTACGATCAGCTCCCAAAGCCATGTATAATCATGGGTGATTTGAATGGACACAATCCACTCTTGGGTGGTACAAACACAAATGCTAAAGGTAAAGTACTTGAAGATTTTATAATAAATAATGATCTGTGTATCTTTAATGATGATGCACACACTTATCTGCATCCAGCAACTGGGACTTACTCTTCATTGGATTTGTCCCTTACTGATTCTAATCTGCTCAATGATTTCGATTGGTCTGTCCACAATGATCTTTGTGGAAGTGACCACTTCCCAACTATCCTATCAGCTGTAAATCCGTCTGATGTTCCTCCTTCTACACGATGGAATTTTACAAAGGCCAACTGGTCTTTGTTTCAAACAATGTGCCAAACTGAAATAAAACCCGAATGTTTTACTGATGCTGACGATCCTATTCAGGATTTTTCTGATGTTTTAAATAGAATTGCTGACGAATGCATACCTAAATCCTCTACAATTCCACATATACGTAAACAATGGTTTAACCTCGAATGTAAACAGGCTAGAAAAGTGAGAAAAAAGGCAGAGAAATATTTTCGACGCCACCCAACTGTCCATAATTTAAATAAATTTAAAATGTTAAATGCTAAAGCTCGTCGAGCATTTAAACAGAATAAACGCCAATCTTGGCAAAGCTATGTCTCGAAAATAAATTCCCGTACTCCAATATCTAAGGTTTGGAATATGGTACAAAGGATTAAGGGCAAAGGTTCAAAATCTAGTGTTCATCATTTTAAGGATGGTGACACATTATTAACCGATAAAAGAGATATAGCGAATAAATTGGGAGAAACCCTTGCTCAACATTCTTCCTCATCAAATTATGCACCGAATTTTCAAAAATTTAAAGACCAACAAGAAAAAAAGAAAATTAATTTTAATTCTAATAATGGAGAGGATTACAACGAAGTTTTCTCCATCCATGAGCTGCATACCGCCCTTGGGCAAGCTCATGATACTGCCACGGGTGCTGATAATATTCATTATCAGTTACTCAAACATTTACCCGAGTCATGCTTAGAAACTTTATTGACTATTTTTGATCACATCTGGACAACTGGGAATTTCCCTTCATCGTGGCGAAATGCCGTTGTTATTCCAATTCCAAAACCTGGCCGTGATCATACTGATCCTTCCAATTATAGGCCGATATCGCTTACTAGCTGTGTCTGTAAGACCATGGAAAGAATTGTAAATAACCGACTTATATGGTATTTAGAAACTAATACTCTTTTAACAAATATTCAATGTGGTTTTAGAAAAAATAGAAGTACAGTTGACCATTTGGTTAGACTGGAAACATTTGTGAAAAATGCTTTAATAAATAAACAACATGCGGTATCAATATTTTTCGATCTAGAAAAAGCGTATGATACCACCTAGAAACATGGAATTTTAAAAGATCTTTATGACATGGGTTTGAGAGGGCGTTTGCCAAATTTTGTGTCTCAATTTTTAACAGATAGAAATTTCCAGGTTCGTGTGGGATCCACCTTGTCTGATTTTTACGATCAAGATCAAGGTGTCCCACAAGGTAGCATATTATCGGTAACGTTGTTTAGCATAAAAATTAACAGTTTAGCTAAGGTTTTAAATGACTCTATTGACGGGTTTTTGTTTGTTGACGATTTTAATGTATCATGTCGGGGTAAAAATATGCACACGATTGAGAGACAATTGCAACTTTGTCTGAATAAATCAATGTTTGGGCAGAGCAGAACGGATTCAAGTTTTCTAAATCTAAAACAAATTGTATTCATTTCTGTCGAAAATATAAACCGCATAAGGACCCTGATTTACATCTAGCTGGAAGACCAATTAAAGTTGTCAAAGAAGCTAAATTTTTAGGAATTATTTTTGATCATCACCTTACCTTTTTACCACATATTAAATATTTGAAAGCTAAATGTCTGAAGGCACTAGATTTATTAAAGGTTGTTTCTAATTCCAAGTGGGGAGGTGATCAAACGACCCTCCTTCACTTATATAGATCACTTGTCCGTTCTAAGCTCGATTATGGCTCCATCATCTATGGTGGAGCCTGTAAAAGTAATCTTAAATTACTTGATCCCATACATCATCAGGGTCTGAGGCTTTGCCTTGGATCTTTCAGAACTTCTCCGATTGACAGTCTATATGTTGAGGCCGATGAGCCATCCCTGAAACAACGCCGTATCAAACTATCTCTACAGTACATCACAAAATTATATTCTAATCAGTCTAACCCTGCATACAGTTGTGTATTTAATCCTCTTTATGAGGATCTGTACGGTAAGAAGTCCTCTCTTATTCCGCCTCTCGGAATAAGAATAAAACCTTTCATTTCTGCTGCCGATATTAAACTTGAAATTATATCTCCTTTCCGCCAGCTTTCGTCTCCTCCTTGGCAATTGGTAAAGCCACAGGTGGATATTACCTTATCCAAACTAAAGAAGTCTGACACTAATCAATTACAATATCAACAAGAATACAATCAGTTAAGGTGTGACTATGATACTTATAAATCTATTTTTACTGATGGATCCAAGGACGGTGATGCTGTTGCCAGCGCCACCGTCATTGGATCCAGAACTATATCAACTAGATTTCCGGATGAATCTTCAATTTTTACAGCTGAATCAAAAGCAATATTAACTGCTTTAGAATATATAAATAAACAATCTAAACATAAAGAATTCATTATATTTTCAGACTCCTTATCCTGTCTTCAGGCTATTAGAAATAATTCGTGTCAGCATCCCGTTTTACTCGATATCATAGAACTACATAATAACCTTGCGACTGGCCAATATGACATCGTTTTTTGTTGGTTACCCAGCCATGTTGGAATTGTTGGTAATACAATGGCTGATGCTGCTGCAAAAGCAGCTCTCAACAAATCTGTGACACCACTTCTGCTACCATACAGTGATTATAAACCTGTCATTAGATCTTACATCAAAGATCTGATGCAGAAGAAGTGGGACGCCCAAGTGGGTATAAATAAATTACATGCAATAAAAGCAAATATCGATTACACCTACTTGGGTTGTCAGTCCAGATTTGAAGAGGTCATTTTAAGACGATGTCGTATTGGCCATTCAAGGTACACTCATGAATATATTTTAAAAGGTGAAGATCCTCCATTTTGCATCCCTTGTGATGAGAGAATCACGGTCAAGCATGTCCTGCTTGACTGTGTTGATTTTTCCATCACAAGGGATAAGTATTTCAAAGTTTCATCGCTAAAGGATCTTTTTAATCACGTGAGTAGTCATTTAATTATTGGGTTTTTAAAAGAAATAGAATTATTACATAAATTTTGATGCTATGTTCTGTAAATAATACATATTTTAGTATTGGTAGCGGAAAAATTGTTAACTGAGATTGTTTGTGGCTTTACCCTTGATGGGGGTTGAAGTAGTGTAAAATGATTGTCCCCCTGAGAGGGTATGTCAGACCACGTCATTCAAAGTAATGTTTTTTTCACCACAATTTTAATCGTAGAATATATGTTCATTTATTCTGGCTACATTTGTCATTAATCGCCAACAGCGGAAGGGATGATGTAAATCCGGCTGGGGTCCATGCAGGTAGCAAAAGTACTGTAAGTCCCCATGGACCCTAGCATGGTGATCTACCTTCAGCTGCTGGCGATCTATAGCCCTTTTTTATATTGTACCGTAATTTCTAGTGCTATCTTTTTTATAGTTGTATGCTAGTTTTAAATAATAAACTGTGATATTCTAGTAATTTTACTGTCCATCGATGACAGGTTATAATTTAGTTAAAAATGTATGTATTCAAATTGTCACATTTTTCGTCACGATATGGCTGGAATATTGCCGATGTGACGTAAAGCATTAACTCACTCACTCACTCACTCACAAAAGAACATGGTGATACTATGAATCAATATAGGAAATGAAATTAACTCAAAGGCTTACCAAATACAAAGCATGCGACATATCTGCTCATGCTGCAGGCGTGGATGACGAATTCAAGGAAGAGGACCACAGGGGCTGAGTAGGACCACACCAGACAGATGCTGCACAGCACCATTATGAACATGGTGGTGATTATTATCGGTCGTCTTCCAAACCTGGAGAAAACAAAACATAACAGAAACAGCATTCTCAATAATGGCTCAAACGTGATGGCCCCAGGTATAGTTACATCCATATATTCAGAGGTTGAAGACAATTTGTCACAAATGAAAGCAAATGTCATTTGAAGGTCATTTGAAGGTCATTTGAAATCCCATTTGTCAGATACCTTAAAATCACAAATGCCACGGTTGAGTTGTCCCACTCCCCAAGGCTTGTTGTTATCCAAGTGATAAAATTTATTAGTTCCGATCTTATCCAATTTGGCAGACACCTCATAAATATAAGATAAATAAATGAAAAGACTTTTATTGTGTTTTATAGGCTTTATAGGTTATAATAGTCACATAATAAACCATCAAGGTATAATGCATTACTACTTGGGGGCATTGCATGCATTCATCAAGGTACATTGCATGCATTCATCAAGGTACATTACATGCATTCATCCAGGTACATTACATGCATTCATCAAGGTACATTACATTACATGCATTCATCAAGGTACATTACATGCATTCATCAAGGTACATTACATGCATTCATCAAGGTATATTACATGCATTCATCAAGGTACATTACATGCATTCATCAAGGTACATTACATGCATTATGCATTCATCAAGGTACATTACATGCATTCATCAAGGTACATTACATGCATTCATCAAGGTACATTAAAACATCAAGGTACATTACATGCATTCATCAAGGTACATTACATACATTCATCAAGGTACATTACATGCATTCATCAAGGTACATTAAAACATCAAGGTACATTACATGCATTCGTCAAGGTACATTACATGCATTCATCAAGGTACATTACATGCATTCATCAAGGTATATTACATGCATTCATCAAGGTACATTACATGCATTATGCATTCATCAAGGTACATTACATGCATTCATCAAGGTACATTACATGCATTCATCAAGGTACATTACATGCATTCATCAAGGTACATTACATGCATTCATCAAGGTACATTTCATGCATTCATCAAGGTACATTACATGCATTCATCAAGGTACATTACATGCATATATCATTAAAAATTTGTGAAGCGATGGAATTGCAGGTGAGTCCTACAGATCGTAGGTACATGGCTGGCAATGATAAAGTACATGGAAGTTGTTTTCATGATCAAATGGTCTTCAACATGTGAAATGCTGGACTTCATTGATAACATATATGTTGAACTTGAGGAAAAGGCAGTTAGGCGAGAATCCCAACTGTTTCATATTTACATCTATGAAAAAATGTCCAGGCACGCACAAACTCTCCGGAAGACTGTACGACGAGAGGGATGACTTCAACTCTCCAATATTCAACTTCCCTTTTTACGTCGAGCAATACCCCAGTAGCTGTATCCATTTGAGATACAATCGAGTATTGCTTTTGTTTCTAATTTAAGGAATTCTAATCTTCCCAAGTACTATTGCCCAATTCCCAGCAATGCAACGCTTCCAATGTTGTTTTGTAGAAAATCTGACGTATTGAAAATTAATTACAGTAGCAGTTTTTTTAAGGAAGTGTTAATACCGTGCATAATTGTTGATTGCATTATTTATGCATATTATAATTAATTATTTAACAGCATGATGTGTGTTGTATCCTATACTAGCTGATACTCTGCGCTTTAGCTGGATGTACTAAACACTTTCCTCTGTATATCTAATGGGCCAGGCCCCCCTTTACGTCAATAAATCATTAATTTTATCACTGAAACTTAAAAGATGATTTCATATGATCAGGTCAGTAGATTGAAGAAAAACAAATTATCTGATGAATTAAGTATATGATCATGAGATTAACATTGACAAATGATTGTCAGTGGTTTCAGCCACAGCATGTATTGAGTTCAATGCCCAAATAATTATTTTGTCGGCCTTGTTACACATGTAGATTTGACGCCGAATACGTCCAATTTAGGAATAACAGTTATAGTAATTAATATGAATGTATATTTAGCCATAACTTCAATGTTTTAACCATCGAATAAGAATGGTTCTGCTATAACAAAGGAAAATATGAATGATGTATAAGTCAATGCAGCTAAATCCTGTTTTCGATTTGTTTATATCGGGTGTGTGAAATATTATTAAAACGTTAATTTCCTGAAATGTTCTTCAAACTGTCTTCAGCATTTATGTCCAATACAAGTATGCTTCTTCAATGGAATTACCTAATGGATAATGTGACCTTTGATCGGTTTCCCTGCTATCTGAGGCTGCAGATACAAACAGTTGTACCGAATATAGCTTTGGTTCTTTGTTCAAGCAGGGATATCCAGGATATGTTATGGAATATTTCTATGTGTATTATGAATAATGTCTGGTTGTTATCACTCCTGCGTCATGTTTATGTCTAGCATTATGTATACAGATAAAAATGTAATTTGGAATGTGCATGACTTATATCTACTTTTAATGATTTATTACATTTTCACGATATGGCTGAGTGGGAGAGTGAGTGAGTGAGTTGGGTTTAACGCCGCTTTTAACAATATTCCAGTTATATCGCGGCGTGTCAGCGTAACGTGGGAGGAAAGCCCGAAGTGATGCAGGTTCGATATGGCTGAAATACTATCGATGTGACCGCATACAAGCTGAAATAGCTGAAGAACACCACTACCTAAATAGTCAATGTTATATTGTTTGTCATTTGTTCTTCCTTTTACGGGGGTACGGGTGGCCCAGTCGTCTAAGGCGCCGCAATTCGCTGTTCAGAGTTGCGTCCCTTGGGCACGCCAGAAACCTATTATTGTGGGCTCGAATCCCGGTTCGCCCAGATTATGTTTCTAGGTTTGCCAGCACCATACCCATGGTCGTTGGTTTCACCGAAGCGGTAAACGTCTGAGACCTGCATCACTTCGGGCTTTCCTCCCACATTAAGCTGGCACGCCGTGATATGACAGGAATACTGTTAAAAGCAGCGTTAAACGCAACTCACTCACTCACTCTTCCTTGGTACATTACAAACATAAGATAAAAATGTTGTGATAGTGATTTTATGATAATCCATTTTAGCTATAATAGGTTATTATAATTAATATCCTCAGTAACAAAGGTACTATAAGTTTCCAAACTGTAAAATACATATATGTTAGAATTAATGAGCATCAACTCGCTAAGATCGTTAATCATGACTTATGAAGCATGAACCATAGATGCTACTTCTACATTTTATAAATTAACAGTAATCAAACAATAATCATTTTCAGACAAAATAAACAGCCATACATTACATCCAATGTATGTCATTGCACTGTGCGGATTGATACTTTATCTTTCCCGTCAGGCTATCCCAACATAAAAAAGTTTGCATAAGTAACCAGTCTACCTGCTCCGCCATCTCCATGACTGGGTGGATCTACTGGTTCTTAAATTTGTACTGCTTGCTTTTTATTGTTGTTTAACGTCGCACTCAGCATTATTTCAGCTATTTGACGCCGGTATCAGTATAATCGAGTCTGAACCAGCCAATCCAGTGATTGACATCATGCACAGCCATCTTCGCATACGATGACATGCATCACCCAACTAAGAGAGCCTGACCACCCGATCCCTTTGGTCCTCTTACGACAAGCATGAGGTGCTGAAGATCAATTCTAACTCGGATCGTCATGTCTATGTTTACTTCTGAAAATAATTTTTCACCAAAAACAAGTTTAACTGAAAGGTATTTTGATTGTTTGTAGCTGCAACAGACTGCAAGTTACTTGATAATTAATAAAGCTGGCCTTTATGATTGAAAGTTATTTTGAAACTCTAAAACACATTAGGTCGTCATCAGCTTCACTGATGATTATAATGTTCGCAACTCGTTTTGAATAAAATTGGCTGAGTGATGGTCATAAATAGGTCTTAGCAATGTGAGTGACGTGGAGTCGATTATTAAAACCATTTGTGTGCTGTCACTGGTAGGAAGATACGTGTGAAGTGTCACTGTTTCAGCTTCGTATGCCCCGTCGTTTCTGAGTAGGAGATGATTTCATTGCAAAGACATGCATTGTTAGATGATCATGGGTACTCACATGTCTGACAATTGTCCGACGATGACACCTCCAACCAAATGACCAAACATAGCCAGCATTTTGGCATGACTCACGTAGGCCTTTTTCTCGCAAACAAAATCCATCTGGAAATTATACAGTTCAATCGGCCGTAGAAGATGCGTCGTATGGACATTTAAATTTTGGGAATAAGTTCGTTATTAGTCGCAGAAGGTAATGGACCTTGTCAAGGGTTTAATAAAAGGCTCGGAGTCGGTATTATGTGTCTGAGTGGGGAGTCCATGTTAAACTGAGACATGATATCTCAGTAGGCTAGTACCAAAACAATCGAATAGTCCTGACGAGTTGAAGCAGCCATACACGGAAGTGCAATACTCTTGCACACATTGATGAAACCAATTTCATTTCAGGTCATGTCACAATATGGCGGATATATAAATTGCACTTATGTCTAATATCTTTCGGAGAAATGCTGGTTTCATATTTTTTCTGATAGATTTATGTAAATATTGTGGAAATGATATTAGATTCCAAAGAAAACCACCTGAATGTAAATAATCTGCAGTTTGCTTATTTATTTACAACTCACCGTCTCTGAAGCCGTGGATATGAACTGTGATTGATCGTACACCCAGGCATTACATGGTTCTGAGATATTTCTTGCGGAAGACCAAACATTGGAGGCATTGGTTTGTAGATACAGTTGGCAGCGGGAATACTTTTCCTCACCATAGTTACCAGATGTCATGGGAATGGAGCGGTTTACGAGTTGTTCGTGAAACTCATTCTGAATTTCGTAGGTGTCATTGGCAAATCCTGGAATAGCGCACCTGCCATTGGAAATAACATAGTAAACGTAAACGTAAACGTACAGCGTTTTAACGGTGGCATGTCAGGAATCAAATTTGGGGCATACATACATGTATATAACATATACATGTTTTTATCAACCATGAGCAGAAAAAATGCGAACATAATACAGGGTACTATGACGAAAATACGCAGCCTTACTACCTTATTGAAATAGTTATATCCGATTTTGATTTAAGCATTGACATATAATTGTACAATATTATGATGTGTCGGTGTGTTTAAAGAGAAATTAGTATCAATAGTCCAGTATATTGTTACATTTCGATTTCCAAATTGTAACAGAATGTTAACGCAGAAATCTGAACGTAAGAGTACCTTGTGAGAAACCAACAAACAACCAACAAGTGGAATACAATCAACAAAAGTATTACAAAATTCACAAAGTTTACAAATCAATGCAAATTACTGCACATTAATTACAATGGTAGTACACAATAGAGTTGGAGTACAATATTCAATGACAGTATATGATATGTCAGTGGTCAGTGTCAAATACAAAAATGCAATGGTGACAGTAAAAGTCTGTGACAATGGCAGGGAATCAGGGGTGATGAGTGACCCTCACACGAAATCAGGTCTTGATGTGATGAAATGCGTGAGAGATGCGAGAGGCATGCTCTTGTCCCCTAAGACACTGTCCAACTAGCTTCCCTCATAACAAAGAATATTCTCCATGTTTCTATAACACACTATCACAGTCTACGGTACTCCGGAAGTTTGCATATCACGCCAGCATCTAAATGAAGTAACTTCCTGACGACTGCTTACATTAAATAGTACTACATTCCTGACAACTAATCACTGTCCAAAACACAATGATTTTTCAACAAAAAATACACTGCCATGTAACACTCTCCTTCAGAGAAAGAATGTTTGAACATAGTTAGAACTTCCTTTGCTAATAAAAGTTCAAAGTACGTTACATAATAATAGACATTATACATGTCCATGATAACAATGAGAAATGTTTACAAAAAATGCAAATCATGTTTGGAGTCAGAACTGATCACATTCATCCAACTCGAGACATCGCATCAGCAATAACGTTGTCCTTGCCTTTGATATGCTTGATGTCTACATCAAAGTCATGCAAAGACAGGCTCCAGCGTATCAGGCATTGGTTTTCGTTCTTCATTGTATTAAGGAAAAGTCATTGTGGATTGTGATCAGTGTACACTTGAATAGTGTTTCTTTTTCAATGGTCGAATAATTTCTCTGATGGTTGTCAAATTTTCTTGTATAATAACAAACAGGATGATCAAAGCCTGAGATACCTTCCTGCAACAGGACAGCTCCAGCACCAATGTCACGATCATCTACTGCCAATGTGAAAGATGTTTCAAAGTTAGGTGCTGGGAGAACAGGAGAAATCAGGAGAATGACTTTAATTTTCTCAAAAGCAGCCTGACAATTGCTGTCCCAAACAAATTTCTCCTTCGTTGGTACGAGCCATACCCGACCGTGGCCTATGACATGACCTAAAATATGTACACGTGCCTGTGCAAATTAACTTTTAACTACAATTACAGTCAACATGGCTTCAGTGAGTCCCTCGAAGAAAGTGTTTGTCCAACTCCATGGAATGATTGATGACATCGTCAACGTATGCTCTGTAATTTCTCTGTATTTGTTGAGACGATGGAAGGTGCCTGGAGCGTACTTGAGCCCAAATGGTATCAATTTGTATTAATAAAGTTCATCTGGAGTCTGATACCAGCTTGGCGTGCTCAGTCAGTGGAATCTGCCAATACCCTTTCAATAGGTCCACCTTGATTACGTACTTGGCTTGACTGATTCTGTCAATACAGTCATTGATTCTTGGTATTGGATAAGAGTCGGTTTTAGAAACAGAGTTCACACGTCTCATGTCAGTACAAAATCGGTAACAAGCATCAGGCTTCGGCACAATAATGCAAGGTGAACTCCAGTCACTATGACTTGGTTCCATAATGTCATTATCCAGCATATATTTGAATCTCCTTCTTTAGAGCTTCAAGCTTGATTGAATTCATTCAGTAGGGATGTTTCACAGCATCACCTCCATCTACATCATGACACACTAAATATTTATGACCAGGTACATCCATTAACAAGTGAGTAACCTCTTGAATCAACGCTGACAATTGAACCTTTTGCTCAAATAACAAATGACATAACTTAGCATCCAAGTTAACTAAAACTTCAAAATTGTTTAGTTTATGGATAGCATTATCAGCAATACCTTCAAACTTAACAAAGTCACAATTCTCATCAGTATCACAATCTAATACAATATATACAGGTGAAACAGTAGCAACACACCGAGTAGGTACATTGTCATTTCTTTCATAATACTTTCTAATCACATTGACATGACAAAGCTGTGTTCTTTATGACGGTCTGGTGTTTGTACATCATAGTCAGTATCACTGACTTTTCTCTCAATAACATACGGACCATGGTAGCTACTAGCACATAATGGTTGCCCAGGGATTTACAAAACACTACGACTTTATCACAAGGGTCCACTTGCACAAAGCGATCTTAGGCTTCGGCTACAATCGCTATCCACTTGCACAAAGCGATTGTATGCTAAGATCATTGTAAGCTACAATCGAAACTTACAATTGGTCCGGACCAATCTTAAGTAGCTAAGATCGCTGTAGTCCCTGACAAAATGGCGTGCAACACAGGGCTTGTTTCACATTAATAATCTGCTTTACGTTCAACACTGCCTCTTTATTTTGTTAAATTTTATGATTCGAATCGACACTTCAACAACAGGAAGACCGAAAAGAAAATAGAACTTATTCATAAATTTTGATGTACTAACTGTAGAGTTTTAAAAAGTGTTAATGGAAAGTAATAACTTAGATTGTTGGTTGTGGTACTATCAGGGGGGGTTGAAGGAGGCTAAAATTATTGTCCCCCTAAGAGGGTATGTACGTTCCACATCATTCGAAGTATATTTATGGCAGCCAGGCTTTTAAATGTAGTATATTCGTCATTTTAATCTTTGGCCTAACTGGTACACTGCCGCCAGGGATGATTATAATCCTGCCGGGGTTCCTGCAGGTAGCAAGGCACTGTAAGTCCCCATTACCCCGAGTATGGTGATCTTCCTTTAGTTACTGACGATCTCTAGCCCATTTTTGTGTTGTTAACCCATTCTTTCTGCTTTTAACTAGTTTTAAATCGAATCTGTGGTATTCTAGTTATTGTACTGTCCTTCTATGACAGATATTTGTGTTTAAATATATGTATTAATGTATAGCTTCTCCTCATAATATTGCTTAAATACTGCCAATGTGATGTTAAATATTAACACGTTAAAATAACTCACTGATTACTGACTGAAAACAATGCAAATACAGAGCGTCTAGCGAATCTCGACACAATGTAACACAGTTTAAATTTTGTGGTTGTTACATAATAAAATATACTGCCATATAACAATATACATACCTATGTTCAGGAACGGCAAATAGAAACACAACTGCCTGTATAATCTGGAGAGACGCCGGTATTGCTGGTAGGCACAGAAGTACATACAGCCATTTCTGGTACGTCCCAAACTCCCCTAGTTGCCTCAGCACGTCATCGAACTTCATCGTTCTTGAAGACCACCAACCAAACTTTCAAGAATTGAAGAAAATGATAAAGCACTGATTCAACACACAAGTCCACACGTGATGACGAACAATCAAAAAAGTAGATCCTAAATGCAATATCCAATTGGATATGACAGTCAATTACCAGGGGAAACAATACCTGGGCTACACGTTACATTTATACAGGGACACTAACCTGGTGTCAGGATAATATTACCATATATAAGTGGTGCATATAATTATGTGTGTCAACGTAGCCATATGGCGTCGATAACAAGTTGATATATATACAAGTGAATCATGAATACAATGATATCTTTGAACATAAATTTGTCAAACTTATTTTAGCATTACAGCAAGCAGCCAAAGCTAGGCCACTTCACTGGGCATCATGGGGACTTACGGTGCCTGTGCTTCCTTGCAAATATCCCATATACGTCCCGCGTTAGCATTTATATCACAAGCTTTGGAGCGGGTATAAAGGATTTATTCGGTCTTTCAGAAATGCATGTGCAGCATGTTGTGCTCGTGGGGGGATATGAGAGATCTATTCCCCCGCTGAGAAATTTATGAGCCTCTAGTGTGGGTATGCAGTATTTTATCAAGATCACATGGACCAATCAGATCTTATCATTCTCACATGGAAGCATGATAACAGGAATTACGTGTCTCATAGGGGGACAATTAATTTTCGGTACTTTAACCTCCTGGGCAGAAACTTCACTAATATCTGTTCAAAAGACATCACACCAAATGTAAGAACAAGCAATTAGTTTATTCATATACATATTTAATATTTATTATACAGACCAAAAATAAAACCTCTTAAAATTGCAAACGACCTGGAAACTGGAAACCGGAAAAACAGTTGAGCAGCATGTGCCATGCGTTAGTCACTTTGCTCAGATGATATATCTTCTTCTGCATCCTCCTCCTTCTCGGACTGATGACATCGACGGCACTTTGAAGGGTACTTTCTTGAGGGGCTTCCGTCATGTTTTCTTTTGCCTAGGCGTGGTGTGACGGGCTACATGGAGTTGTGTGATGCATGTCTTCTATGAAATGGAGCACTTTTGTCACTTGTGTCAACGTGGGCGGTGTTGCTGGAGTCTTCTTTTGACTAGGTTCTGGGCAATCTGCAGCAAAATGGCCCACGGCTTGGCAGTTGTAGCATGGGGGAGTCTTCTGCTTATCTTGACTGCTTATCTTTGTATTCGTACAGACATAGTGGCGGTGACCTTGAGTGTGGTACTCGCTACGTGTCACTTCAGGGCAGTACAGGTAACTGTTACTGTCAGTCTGACACTTCATACAGGTGTATCAAGACGACATGGTTGATCTCTCATTCAGTGCTAGGATTGTGACTGTGTGCTTGGCTTCGCTCTTTTTTTATAAGAGAGGCACAGAAACCCTGCTCCCTGATTGGTCCAAAACTCAGCCTGTTCCATGGGAGAAAAAGCACAACAAAAACAGGAAGGCACGTACTCGATGGTCTTGCAACGTGGTGGGCTTAAACAAGTCCAAGAACAGGTAAGTGTAAGGTTCTTTTGTGGCGTCTTCATAGGCTTCATGCAGAAAAAGAACTTTGCCTGGAAACACCTGGCGAGCAAGACTGTCGATCTGCAATTCATCTCTCGGATTTTTAAAGAGGACCATGTAGTGAGCATGCAGACTTATGGTGCGATGTTGTGGTGATTGGGCAAACAAATTCTGAGTGAGGTACAACACAGATGTGTTTCGGTGATGACTTTTCTTGGTGAACCGCCGCAACACTCTCGTTTCTTTTTCTTTTTCATTGTCGCCCAGCAAATCAACAATGATGAGCCACCCCTTTTTCTGGTAAGGCACGATCCGCTTCTTTCCGTCTTCAACTTGAAAAAATGGTCGACATAACAGGCAAAGAGTCCTCCTTCCTGGGTCTCTTGGTCAGACGTGTCAAAGGTGTCGAAATGCCAAGCTTCATAGATCTGAATCACCATGTAGCCACACTGCTTCATGGCTTCTTGGACTTCTAGGGTGGTGTACGTGCCCATCCAGGCCCTCTCTTCGTCCATGTGCTCACAGGACGTCTCTAACTGGGTTTTGGCACAAGTGCGGCACAAAGGAAAGAGCCACCGACCTGAATGGTAGTAGAGGATGGTAGAGATGTGCCGGGGGTAGGAAACGGCCTTGGATAAGGCCATGCAGATCAAACAAGGTCTCCACAGGAGGATGGTCGCAGTGGGTAGGGTGTCCTTTCAGAAAGGTACCATACTTGCAAATGTAGGGATAAAGTGAACAGACATCGACATACTGGGTGGTTTCACCTTCTTGGGCCTCGTAGTATAATTGGGTGGCATTGGTTCGTCCACCATAGAAGGCCTCATGAGGGTCTAGCAGGTCAGGTAAGTCGTCACAATGTGGTCCATGCAAGTAAGCACTCAAAGCTGGATCTGTCCGTTGCTGGGCTTTAAAGTCGCATTCCCACAGGGTGACGATAGGTTTCACATCAGGGGGTTGTTTGGCCTGGGCATTGACACAGTAAAAAAAGTGTAGGTTTCCGTCTTCCGGCCCGGATACCTTCCGGAAACCTTCCAAAAGAAATGTCAAAATTTGGGGGGTGCATTTTGTTCACTTAAGTCTGAAACACATAAAAAAATTAACTTGAAAATACCAAGCAATTTGAAGGTTGTTGAAGGCATCTGGAAGGCATCTGGAAGGTTTCCGGAAGGTATCCGGATGCAAATTTTCTTCATGACTTCATGACTTCAATAATGTTAGCCTGTGCATTACAGGTACCTGTTGTAATATTCTGTGTTATTTTAATTGTAAATATCCTCCTCAAACTGAGATATGTGGGCATGCATTGTTCACAAGTTGTTTTGCGACATGGGTCCAATGTGTGAAACTTATTGCTGGTGTCCCCCACCATGATATTGTTGCAATATTGCTGAAAGTGGCAAAACAGCATTCTCACTCAGAAAAAAATGGAAAGTCATTAGCTATGTGCTTTGGCATTTGGCCCTCGTGAAATTAACAGATTAGTTTGGAACGGTATCAGTACTTGTTATATCGGGAAAGTGTAGTTTCATGGGAATATAAAACAGAATACAATTGTCCCAAATTGGTGCATAAGACTAATGGCATCCATAGAAAACACCTAAATAAAGTACAGAAAAAATATCAATGTCATTTGTCTACTAAGGTGGAACTACAACTTTTGTTAAGTGAGCTGTATTTATAGTAGGAAAACAATCAGGGCATTAGAAAATTTTATATTTGTTCAGCACCTATGTTATGGCTGATCAGTATTATATTTCTTTATGCTAATGAAGCAAAACAAATCATGTTTTTGGAAAAAAATCTTATTTATTGATTATATGGCATTTCATTGGTACATATCACAAATTGAAATTTGATCAAGCAAGAAGAGGAACTAGCATAAAGTAACCAGTGGTGTTTGCAAGGCCTTACAGAACAGACACTTCAATGCCTTTTTCTAAATAAACAAATTAGTCAAATCTCAGAAGAATGTTATTGAAGAAGAATATCTAAAGTCAATTATGTTTCTGCAGTAAACCACAAAAGTCATTCAGATTTGTATAGTCAGCATCGGTGTACACAAACTGGACATAGTCACAGTGCTTTGGCATAAATTCATTCAGACTTCATTAGTGTCATAATAAAACCACCTACAGTAACACTGATGTGGCATTATTCATTCAGAATCATCACTTTCTGAGGTGAATCTGTTGGTTGTTATCAGGAGTACTGTTCATCATCCGGCGAGTCCCTTGTCTGAATTGTGTGAGCAAGATCTTCTTAAATGTAGCTGGTGTCAGATTGTGAAATCCAGGTACCTGAAACATTTCATAACATCTTTAGAAACTTGTTAGTCAAAAGTTATGAAACACACACATATTTACAAATGTTTAAAGTTGTTTTCTCGAACAGTGAGGTATTGACAATTTATCTTGCAACTGATATTTAACCAATCTTTGAACATGTAAATAAGCCATTGCAAACAGAAAAGTGTTCAGAAAATACATAAAATACAAAAACTGTATCCGGTCTTCTAAAACAATACCACAAGGTTCACCTGAATTTTGCTTGAATGTTTGCATTACATCAAAATGTAAGGAAGGATAAACAAGACTATGCAAAACTAAGTTACATAGGTTCTTATACATAAATACATAAATGCAACTATTCATAATTATCAAAACACATGTCATGTAAGTGATCTCAAAATACAACATAATGAGCGAGTGAGTTGGTATAGTTTCATGCAGCTTGTTAGCAATATTCCAGCTATGGGCTTCACACATTGTACCCATGTGGTGAATTGAACCCCAGTTTCAGAGACTGTTTCACCCACTAGGCTACCCTTGCACACCAAATACAAAAGAATGTATATTAGGAATTCAGACAATAGATATTCTCACCAAATTCACTAATTCATTAATGGAAGCTATATTGAAATTCAAATTTTGACCCTCCCTGAAAGAAAATGCAAAGCACTTTATATTTTATTGTCCATTTTGTCAAAAGCCTCCCCTAGAGACTCTCACATTTTTGGGTGAGCCTCCCTGTTTGTTCTGATCTGAATTCAATTATTCATGACTCATTATCATATTTTATCATTTATCCTATCTTTTTTGAAAATTAACTAAATGAAGATTAACAATAACATGCAAATCTGCCAAAATATTGGCCTGGCAAAGTTTAAATTAATCATAATTACTGTTATAAAGTTTTGGATCCATCGTCTGTTTCTAAATACAGTGAAACCCAACTTTGACTTGTGTGGCATTGTTGAATCATCTACCCAATGTTCTTTATGCATTGATATGCATCTGCACAGAGTGGTCAAAGTCCTTGTCTGACACATAGTGTGCTACAAGGGAGACATCAGTTTGTGTCTAGCCAAACTGTCTGATAATCTCAAGGGCTGCCTTGGTAGCATCAAGGGATGTAACTAATCCTAAATAAACATAAAACAAGTGACATCATCTCTTCTACAGAACACATGATCAAAGCCTGCCTTACTTACTTACTTACTTACTTTGGAGATTTAACGTGCGCTTTCCGACTGATGCGTATTTCGCACACGGGCCCGGCCAGGCCATTTAATGTGTTTCCGAAAGGGGCGAAGGTGGTCTGTGCAACCCAAGAGGGGGTTTTAGGGGTTGCTTATATAGAATTTGGGAATTTTGAGATTTGGAATAGATGCCGATGGGATTGGGGAGGAGAACTAAGGGAGCTGGGTATGGTGGATGTTTGTTTGTTTATGTGATTTTGATTTGGTGAGTTATTGTGTTTTTAGATGCGTTTTATTAGTTCCGTTTTGATTAAGAATACGCCTAAGGCCTTGAAGTTTTCTAGTTTATTTTGTGGGTTTAGTATTGCTTCTAGAGTTAGAGCCTTGTTTAGATTGAGGGTGGTTTGTAATGCGGTTCGATGTGTTAGGTAGTGTGTGCAGTGGATGAGTGCGTGTTCTGGGGTTTCTGGTTGTTTGCAGTGTGGGCAGTTACCTGTAGTGTGTTTTTTAAATTTTTTTAGGTGGTCATTTAGGTTGGTGTGTCCTGTTTGGAGTTTAGTGATTACTCTGTCGATTTTTTTGGATGGATGGAGAATTTTTGGTTTGGTTAGTGGTTTGCTGAGCACTTTTTTGATTTGGCTATTTGAGTTTAGATATAGGTTATGCCATTTTTTGGTGATTTTTTGCTTGTTTACACTTTTAATTTCTGATTTTGAGATGGGTAAGTTTAAGCTTATTTCTGGGATTTTGAGGGATAGTTTAGCTGCTTTATCGGCGTTTTCATTACCGTATATTCCTACGTGGGCGGGTATCCACAAGAAGGTTATTTGTTTGCCTGCCTTAGTTAGGTCGTTGGAGCTTTTAAGTATTTGATTTATTAATTTAGGTCGGTTTTTGGTATTTTTGTTTTGGAGGGCTTGCAGTCCACTTAGGGAGTCGGTAAGTATTAGGATTTTTTTGTGGTTTTTGGATTCTTGATTATGGAGGGCTGAGGCCATGCCCATTAGTTCTGCCGTGAATATTGATTGGTTGTTTGGGAGTCGGAAGGATTGTGTGGTTTTAGTTGGTTGTGTGGTATGGACTCCGAAACCTGTGTGTTTGGAGGTCGGATCTGAGGATCCGTCCGTGTAAATGTGACACCAATTTGGCCAATTTTCGTGTATGTATGCTAGTGTGGTAGTTTTAGCTATGTTTGGGTCGGTTTGTTTATTTATTTGGCTAGCTAGTGTTGTGTCTATTTTGGGTATTTTAAGTTTAGGGGTGAAGATATTTGATTGTTTGCAGTTTTGTTTAAGATTTTTAATTTGGTGTTCATTTAGGTAGTTTGTTATTCTTTGGGATATTGGGGTAAGTAAGGGGTGTTTACGAGCTAGAGCTTGGTTTTTGGGTCTGATGTTTTGGTTTATTAAGTTTTGGATGAGAGGGTTTGATTGGGACGCGGCCCAGAAATTTAAGCTTAGCTGTTCCCTGCGTAGACTTAGTGGCATTTCTCCTGTTAAGGCCTGAAGTGAGGTGTAGGAGGTGCCATGTTGGGTGCGTGTAATTAGTTTGAGAGCCTGATATTGTATTGAGTCAAGTTTTTTAGATAGAGAGTTGTTTAGGGTGTTGTATATGGCGCAGCCGTAGTCTAGTTTTGATCTAATCAGTGATATGTAGAGAGAGAGGAGGGTATCTTTGGATGCTCCCCAGTTAGAACCAGTTAGGCATCTTAGGGTGTTTAGGTCTTTACTGCATTTAGTTGTTAGGTTTTGGATGTGAGCATCCCAGGTGAGATGTTCATCGAAAATAAGTCCTAAGAATTTGGTTTGTTTTTGAAATTTGATTGTTTGATTGTTTAGCTGGAGGATTGGGGAGGCGGGTTTCATGTTTTTATGTTTGAATACTATTCCTGTTGTTTTTTCTGAGTTGAGGGAGAAGCCCCATTTGTCAGCCCATTGTTGTATTTTATTAAGAGATTTTTGGAGTAAATTTTGGACCATGTTCATGCTTTTAGTGCGGATCCAGATGGCTCCATCATCCGCGAATTTTGATGTGTTTACTTTAGGGGATAGGCCCTCGAATAGATCGTTTATCATTATATTGAAGAGGGTGGGGCTGAGGATACTGCCCTGTGGAGTACCATTTTCTAGGGGACATTGGTCCGATAGAGTTTGGTCTATACCC